CTCAGGTGATCCACCAGCCTCGGCCTCCCAAAGTGCTGGATTACAGGTGTGAACCAGCACGCCCATCCTAGAAACTTATTTTTTGTTTTCAGTGCTTATGGCTCTGAGGAAAAGGCTTTGCCAAGTCACCTGTGGGACATTTCATCCTGGCAGCTGCATGATCTGAGCATGTACATGGCTTCTGGATGTTTTTCTGCATAAATAGTCCGGACAGGGGTTGCCACTCATCCCTATCCACATGACAATGTGGGGTTTATGAGCTCAGGAAATAAAGCACCTGTGGAAGCCGGGGTTTTGACAGACGGTGCTGCTGCTGTTTTTATCTGACGAGACAGAAAAGGAAGTCTGAACCTTCCATTTCGCGTGAGAGGTGGCTAAGGAAAGATGTCCTTCCCTGTCCTCAGGGGACTGTCCCTGCCGCACCCACATTCCTAAGCCATAAGTGAGCTTGCATTAACACCATGAGGGTGTCTGAACCAGTTCGATGAAAAGGGAGGACAATAATTCTGAAGTTCATTAAGAAAACACAAGGTGGCAGCAGCGGCCCCTCCCGAGCGCCCTCACCTGTGGCCGAAGCGGGACGCAGCTGTGCTCAGCGGAAGAGGCTCACTGGCCACACGTGGGCTTCTCTATGCTCAGGTTTTCTGCACCAGGCTGACGGATGCGGGGATCCCTCCAGAAGTCATCACGGGCATATTCTCGAACATCTCTTCCATCCACCGCTTCCACGGGCAGTTCCTGCTGCCGGAGCTGAAGACGCGGATCACGGAGGAGTGGTGAGTACCGTCTGCGGATGCCCGTGGGGCCCCTCAAGTGGTCTCTAGACCTGGGTTCGTGTGCCTGAGAGCCAGGCAAGTGCTGGGGGACTGTCCCATGGTGGCTGGGCGCCTCCCTTCTCTGCACGGTCTGGGTCCGGTCCAGACTCCACCCCTTCCTGGTTGGTGACCTTGACCGGCCACTTACGGTCTCCAAGGCTTAGTTCCTGAGAAAGCAGATGATGCGGAATGAAGGGCTTTTAACGCCCCTCTCGGGACTCTGAAACTAAAATGAGGTTTGACATCTGGAAACACCACACAGTGGATAGCGCTAGTTGGTTTTCTTTTCCCTCCTAGCTTATACTCCACCTTTGTTTAAAAAAGGCTATTTTTCCCCCTCAACAGTGGACATCAGATCCTCCTCCTGCTGTCCCTGGGGTCTGTCCCTCTGTCCCACTAATGCTTCTGTTCATTAGCAGAAGGACAGCTCAGTGCAAGTCACAATTCATGAAACTTCCCAGGCGTGGCCCCCAGGCTCATCAGTTCGCCACGTTGCGTGTTACCTTTCTCCTCATTCTGGGTGCCGCTGCTGTTTGACTTAGGGTCTCTGCTGCCTGCCCCGTTCGCAGGCCCGGCTTCCCTCTGCATCAGGAGCCAGGCCCTTCTGTGTCCCACAAGCCTGTTCTCCAAGCTGCAGCCCAGGAGACCACGGAGGCTTGGCTGGAATGGGAAGTCAGGGGGAGCCTTTTCACCTGTTGCTCAGGGAGGCACTATGTCAATTCATAAATCTGTACAAGGACATGGTCCAGCTGCCGAGCAGGTTACATTGTGTCCCCAAGGCAGTCAGGACTGGATGCGGCCTTCTGGCTGACAAAATCCATGCTTGCTAGAGACAGGTTTTCTCCTGCAAGGCCCTGGAGACTGCTAACTCATGAGCGCACGTGTGACCTCCTCTGCTCCTTTTATAACAGCACAGGGGTCCGATGACTTAGCCACCCTGCCCTTTGGATCTTTAAATTAAATGTATGAGTGCAGTTCAGTCACGCCTCAGGATGGCTTTGTGCTGCTGGCTTTTTTCTTTCTTTTTGAAACAGTCCTAAGGACAAAGACGATTAGTATATGTTTCTGTTTCTTGAAAATTATTTGCAAATCCCTGTCCAAAGCAGCTTTTTTCATTATCAGTACTACAAAGAGTTACTTTCCCCAGGACTTCACCAGCATTGAATAGAACCATTGTTTCTAATCTTTGCCCATTTAAAAGGAGCATAATGGTATTTTGTTGGTTCTCTTTGATAGCTGTGGCTCATCATTCAGGTGATTCTGCTACTACTGCTATCTCCTGTGTCTGGGGCACTGGTTCTAAGCTTGCAGCTTGCGCTTTCAACTGTTTTACAGGCACCTTTCATTTAATTGCCCTGTTAACTATTTTCTGCTCTACATGACATAGGGGAGGAAACTAAAGCTCAGAGAGGGTGACCAATTTGCTCACCATCACACAGAGCTGGCCGCCACCCCACACTCCCCTGGTGGAGTTCATGTCCACTAACCTCGGAGCCCCCATTGCACCCAGCTATTTCTCTGATGATTCACTTCTCCGCGAAGGGACACAAACCCACGGCTCGGGGACATCCTGCAGAAGCTGGCCCCATTCCTAAAGATGTACGGCGAGTACGTTAAGAACTTTGACCGAGCCGTGGGGCTGGTGAGCACGTGGACCCAGCGCTCCCCACTGTTTAAGGACGTCATCCACAGCATCCAGGTAAGGCGGGCAGCGGGAGTGTGGACACGGATGTTCTCAAGACGCACAGAGCCCGGTGTTTTATTTAAAAAATATATATATATATATAAACTCCAAAAAGTAATATATGACATTACTGAAATTTTGGAACATAGAGAAAATTAGGAAAATTATGAGATGTGTCCAGATGCTCTGTTGTTGCTTTGAGCGTTACAATAACTCCCAGAGACGAATCAGCATTCCCATTGGAAAATTGTGGCTCAAGAGGCTGTGCAAGCTGCAGCATCACAAGCTATTATCTGATGGAACCTGAATTCAAAGGACAGTCTGATTCCACAGTGTCCCTCGATATCTAGTGCAGGCATTTTTGTTTATATGTTACATTGCTTTTTTCTTTTTCACTTTCTGCTAACAGCCTCCTCATAGCCCTGGCTGCTCTTATCTCCCGTAGGGTTGGTCTCTTTCTTCTTGATTCACAAGGCTTTTATATGCTAAGAACATCAACTGCTTTCTCTCATGCATGTCACAGATTATTTTCCCCCATCTTTTATTTTTTATTTTATTCTTTTATTGAGACAGCGTCTCACTCTGTCGCCCAGGCTGGAGTGCAGTGGCACGATCTCGGCTCACTACAAGCTCTGCCTCCTGGGTTCGCACCATTCTTCTGCCTCAGCCTCCGGAGTAGCTGGGACTACAGGCGCCCGCCACCATGCCCGGCTAATTTTTTTGTATTTTTAGTAGAGATGGGGTTTCACCGTGTTAGCCAGGATGTCTCGATCTCCTGACCTCGTGATCCACCCGCCTCGGCCTCCCAAAGTGCTGGGATTACAGGTGTGAGCCACCACGCCCGGCCCAGAATTTTTTATTTTTAAGTACTTCCTCTCACCACTTCTTAAAATGTAAAGCTTATTTTTAAATGCATTTCCCACTACCCAAGACTGTATAACCCCATCTCTACTAAAAATACAAAAATTAGCTGGGCGTGGCAAGCCTATAGTCCCAGCTACTCTGAAGGCTGATTCAGGACAATGGGTTGAACCGAGAGGCAGAGGTTGCAGTGAGCTGAGATTGTGCCACTGCAGTCCAGCCTGGACAACAGAGAGAGACTCTGTCCCCCAGACCCCCCACCGTTAAAAAAAAAAAGAAAGAAAAAAAAACCACACAAAATTCGGATTAATTTGGTTTTCTTCCCGGGTTGCCAATCAAGCTGGCAACTCCCATCTAGGCTTCAGAATGAAGTAAGGGAAGGGCATACTCTATGTAGACGCTGAGACGGTGAAATTAGTCACATGGCCACGTGGCGTAATGATACGTGTGTGCTGTCGAGCTTGAGTGAGCCCTTCCAGGGTGCAGCGAACAGTCACTGTCCTGGCACAGGCTGTGGTCCTCTGTCCATCCCTGGCAGACCCCGTTCTTGGGTCCAGCAAACCCTTAGGAGGCTAGACACTTTCTGGATTGGGATGCAGACACGTCTGCAGCAGCTACTGCAGCACTGCCATGTCCTGGATGACGTCTGCCTGGGGACACTCGAGGCAGACATGGCCCCGGTTGCAGGCCAGCCACTGGTCTGCACATCCCCTCACTGTAGGCAGGTTGGGCACAGGGCCAGGCAGGCTGTGGAGAGGGCTCTCCGCCTGGACTCAGTACCGTCCAGCCATTCTCTGAAGGTGACTTTGCCCCACCGGGGATCCCAGGCCATATCTGCAGACATTGGTGGTGCACCCAGCCAGCATCTGGTGGGTCCAGGGATGCTGCAAAACACGTTGCAGTGGACAGGATGGCCCACTGCAGAGAATTCTCTGACCCGAGTGTCCATAGTGCCCAGGGTGAGAAGCCCTGGCGTGGACAAAACAGGATTGCGTGACTCAAATTTCCCGTGGCCTTTTGCAGGTTTCCTTCCTTTAATCCAAAGCATATTTTAAACTTTAAACTTTTATTTTGAAATAACTTTAAACCTTTACAGGAAAGTTGCAAAAATGCCAAATTGTTATGCACTATTAACATTTTGTTAATAGTCTTACTTTACTATTCTCTCTAAACTCATACAGATGATGATGACTTTTAAGCGTTTGGAGACTAAGTTGCAGACACCGTAACCCTTTATCACTAAATGTGAACAAGGATATTCTCTTGCGTACGTACTCCCAGCTCAGTGATCAAAATTGGGGATTTTACACGGATGTCCTGGTGCTGTCTACTCCGCAGCCCACACTCAGATGTCACCGATTGTCCCAATAACGTTCTTGTTTTCTGGTCCATAACCCAGCCCAGGGCCGCACATTGCTCTCATGATGGTGTTTGGCTTCCTGGGTCTGGAGCAGGCCTAGGTCCTTGTCTTTTTGAGGGGTGCAGGCTAGTTACTTGTAGACTGCCTGCTTGGCCTTTTCTGCTGTTTGTCCAGTTTGATTGAGGCTGTGCCTTTTCCCAGAGTGAGGCTTTGTTCTTCTCCCTGCGTTCTGCCTGGTGGCTCAGTCTGCGTCCTGGGGATATTGACTTGATTAAGGGCGTGTCTGCCAGGACTCCTCAGGTGAAGCTGGGTTTTTTCCCCAATTAATACGTCTCTTGGCCGGGCGCAGAAGCTCACGCCTGTAATCCCAGCACTTTGGGAGGCCGAGGTGGGTGGATCACCTGAGGTCAGAAGTTCGAGACCAGCCTGGGCAACATAGTGAGACCCCACTGCCCCCCACCATCTCTACTAAAAATACAAAAATAAGCTGGGTGTGGTGGCACACACACACCTGTAATCCCAGCTACTTGGGAGGCTGAGACAGGATAACTGCTTGAGCCAGGGAGGCAGAGGCTGTAGTGAGCCA